TCCTTATCCCAAGCCTAAAATAAGCCAAGAGAAGTAATGATTTTAGAAAATACTGGTGCGTGTGTGGTTTCTGTCTTCTGGAATGGCATCATTTCATAATAGTCTCAAAAGTTAGCTCTTGAAATTTTCAGTGTTTTAGGCAGAATTGAGACCTAAAACATGCCATTTTACATTTATAATTTTAAAATACTGTTAATTATGAACATTGTAAATTTATATGCTCAGGATATTTGTTTTAATTCTGTGTCTTATTAAACTAAAACTATATGAGTAGAGAGGGGAGGTAGATTTTTTTAGGTTAATTTAGATTATTTAGAGTGAAATCTGACTATCCTCACCCTTCTTCAGTGCAGGTACACTTCACTTTATTTTTTGTTTTTTGTAAGGCATTCTTAAACAATTAAGTTTTCCGCTGAAAGAAATAATTCATGATTTTACAGATGGAATTATAAACTAACCACATAGAACTAACAAAACACTTTTCCCCCTGCCATTAGTTAGGATTTGCCTGAAAGTTAACACTAAACAATTATAGAGAACTGCTTTTGCTTAACTGTCCATTCTTTTTAAAATTAAATATAATCAGGGTAGGAATGCATATATGTGTATGTGAATATGTATATGTGACCATTCCTTTAATATGGGTATTAAGAGGAAAATATAATAAATCAAAGAGAGTCTGATTAAATGTAATATTATGTGAAATTAAGTGACTGGGGTTAGTGAGGAAAATATAGAGTAAAGAGGATACTGAGACGCTTGAGCTGGACGAGCCTTATTTGCAAGTGAAGGATCTGGTGCTGCTTTCAGATGTTTATCCTTTATGTTTTTAAATTTTTTCTTAAGCTTTAATCTTCGTTTTGTCTTAAAGTCAGCTGGTGTTTCTTGTCCATGGACTTTGGTACGATGGTGCTTTGCAAGGATGTATTTATATATTTTAATGGCCAACATTTGGTCAGCCCTTGTCCACTATTCACGTCCCCTTTTTGTAAAATAAGTGCTTTAATTGTAAACTGTATAAAAATACCTTGTATAAACCCCCCTTTGATTATTACACTAAGCTGAGTTGTAACAAATGAAATGTTGATTTTTATAATAAAACAGTGGAAAATAAAAGTGGTGTTTCTTTTCAGCAAGAAATTAAAACCAGCTGCTTGTGCTTTGCTGTGGTAAACAACCATTGTGTTTCAGATACAACAAAACCCACTTTTTTTTATTTCAAATAAAATACAACCTTATTAAGCAGTGATTGATCTCAAATAGGTGATTAATGGAAACCAAGTTTTAATATAAAGGTCTCTCCTTAGTAGATGCTTTTGCATCAGAGAGCTTACCTTGGCTTTTTATTTTATTTTTTAATTTTATTTTATTTTTTAAAAATTTAATTTATTTTATTTATTTTAATTTAATTTTATTTTATTTTATTTTATTTTATTCCTCGCCCAAGGGATATTTTTTCCCATTGTTCTTTAGAGAGACAGTGAGAGGGAGGGAAGAAGATAAGAGAGACAGAAAGAAACATTAATATGAGAGAGACTCAATGACTGGTTGCCTCCCCACATGTTCCTGGACCCAGACCTGGGATGGAACCTGTAACCAAAGTGCATACCCTTGACCAGGAATCGAACCCTTCAGTCTGTGGGCCAACACACTAACTACTGAGCCAGGCCGGCCAGAGCCACCCAGCTTCTTTACTGACCCTTCATCATATTCTTTATTCTCATGAGGGATTCTTTTAGCTTTTATATATCTCAAAGTCTTTATTTTACCTTCCTTCTTAAAACTTCTTTTTGTTGGGTATAGAATTCTGAGTTGACAATCTTTTTCTCTTGATGCTTAGATGATACATTTTATTCTGTCATATTTCATAAGAAAAGTTTGCTATCATTTTGTTTGAGTGTGTAATGTGCCTTTTTCTCTGGCTCCTTTCAAGATTTTTTGTAATCACTGGTTTTGAGCAATTTATGATGTGCCTTACTGTAGTTTTCTATATTTTCTTGTGTGGTTAGCATTCATTGAGTTTCTTGGTTTTATGAGCTTATAGTTTTCATCAGATTTGGAAGTTTTTCATTCCAGTTATTGGCTGGTAGAAGTCAGTCCACATTTTACTATTACTTTGTTCTTTTTTCCTCCAGTCTTCTGTTTTGTCTTTGAGTTTACTTTTCTGTTCTCCTACAATGGGTAGTTGCTGTTAATCCAGCCTGGTCTATATTTTCATTTCTTCTCCAATAGTTTGATTTAAATAATATTTATAATTTCTATGTAAACTTCAGAAGTTAAGTCTTTCCTTTGACTTACTGAGCATATGGAATATTAATAGTTTTAATGTCCTTATCTAGCAATTCTATCCATTGTATAATTTACTTGGTGTCATTTTTTGAATTTTCTCATTATTGGTCTCATTTTTTTCCCCTATGATTTTTCTATTGGATGCCGGACTTTGGCAATATTAAGTATTGGATATTTTTGTGATCCTATAAAGATTCTTGGGCTTTTTTTTTTTTTTTTTTTTTTTTCTAGAAGACGGCTAGGTTACTTGATAACAGTTTCACTCTTTTGGTTCTTCCTCTTTACCTTTGTTGGGCAGAACCAGAAGTATCTTAGTTTAGCGCTAATTTTCCCCCCCATTAGTGAGGCAAAATTCTTCTATTTTACCTATTGCCATACAAATTTTGAGGTTTTTCCATTCTGGGTAGAGGAAATACACACTACTCCCAAACCTATGTGAATTTTGGAGAGTGATCCCTTAATATTTTCAGATGTTCTTTTTCAAAGCCTTGGGTAATGTCTTTATTTGCATGGGTTGTTCAGTATTCCTCTGAAAATTTGAGGAGACCTATCTAGATCTCTGAAGCTTTTTGTGCAGTTCTCCTCTCTCCATTATTTGCCCTGCAAACCTTAGCTGCCTTGGCCTTCCTGGACTCAAAGGTTCTATTTTCTCTGTCCAGGGAGATTGCTCAGCCCTGTGTGGGTTCGCCTCTTTCCAGCACAGCCTGAGCATTCTTCACCTGCAGTATTCTAGGGCAAGCATAGGCCTCACTTTGTTCTCATCTCTCAGGGACCAGTTCTTCGTTACCTGATACACAATGTCTTAGAAACTATTCTTTCATATATTTTGTCTTTTTTTTTCCAGTTGTTTTAAGCAGGAGATCAAATTCAGTAACTATTCATTTTAGTGGGAAGCTGTAGATGCTATTGGAACACTTGGATCGCTGGTTGAAACTACATATACCATAGGCCATACCCCAATTTTACTAATTCACAGTATATAGCAGTGAGGCTAGGATGTGACTCTGAAAACATGCCAGACGTTACGTGTGCAGAATTAAATTAGCCATAATACTTGTTTACAAAAGGGTTTGCAATCCAGTGTGAGAGGCTGGTTCTTACAGAACAGTGTATTTATTGTCCATATACAGGGTGTTACGGAGCATTCTTAGTGAGGGAAGGCATCCAAATGTAGCCCCTTGGAGGCCAAGAGGGTTACAAATGGTTCCTGAAGGAAATCGAGTGAATTGGGGAAGATGGGCTAGAGTCAGATGAATTAGTGGGAAACGGGAAGGAGGACCAGCAGGCAAGAGCACTTCCAATGGAGAAAAAATTGTTCTCAAGCCTCTGGACTATAAGATTGCATAATACGTGTGGGGAGCGGCAAATAGATTGAAATGCTTGGATCAAAGTGGGAGAGGAGATGGTCTTCAAGTATCTCCATTTGTAAAAGGAGACTCCTTTGTCCCTAACATTTATGACCTTAAATGTGTGGAGGAAAACAGAGAATAATTCACTTTAACTGAGATGGGTTGGGCAGTGCAGCATGTGGTAATAGAGAGTTCCACTTTCCCCTTGAAGTTGCACGTATGTACAAATAACTCAAGTCATTTGTTTGTTCATCAAAGGTTTATTAAACACCTATTTCATGTCAGCTCCGAGCTGAGTGCCAGAGATCCAGAAATTTGTAAGACCCTATAATTTGTGTTTTAAAATGCTGTATGTCTTAAACACTTTCTATGGGACACATTTTACTTACTAAGCGACCTCATTCTGAAGAGTATCACTTTCAGGAAAACAACCAGCGACTGCTTCGAGAGGAGAGAGAATTTCCAGCGTAGCTCTGGGCAGCACATAGCAGGGGACGTGCGTGAACACTTGGCACTAAGTTCGGAGCCCTTTTCTAAACACTTTATGTAAATTAACTCATTTGATCCTGACAGGAATTTTTGTACTGTTACATATTGTTTTAACCACAAGACACTCTCATGAAAGTGGTCTTTCCACGTGTTTATTTTTACCGGCTACTAATCATTACATTCCCCTAAGAAAAAATAATAAAGTCTCAAAGACCTTGAGAGGCAGAGGCAGGGTCACTGGGAGGTGAGGGCAGTAGGAGTAATTGTGTTCTGCCAAATGGAATTTTTTTCAAAGCACCAAAGAATTCTCCCAGAAAAGTGAGTCAAAAAGGCAGACATGATAGTATTTCCTGAAACTAGTGGATCTAGCGATACACTTGAGTCTCTCTCGAGCTATGTCTACTAACATGAACATCTACCAACATCTTCCCGAAGGTGGACTTGCAACAATGTCATTAGGCAGTCCCAAGTGTGGTTTATAAAAATAAATAGTACTGGAAACCAAAGAGTAGGCACATGCAGTTTATCATGGTGCCCTCATGAGGTCAGAATAACACACTTTCTCTATGTTGGCCACCGAGGCGGGATGGCAGTGTCTGTTCTCACTAATGGAGAGAATTAATCCCCTTGTCTTTCTGGATTTCCTCACACACCCGGTAAAGGGCCTGAAGAACACGGGGTAGGGGCAAGGCCATGCTACTACCGTCTACGAGCTGGACACAAACGAGGCCTCTCCTGATGTTCTTGGTTCATGAGAATAATGCTCCATCTGCCTCGTACACTTCCATTTTCTCCTGGAGTCTATGCTGAGACCCATGTACACAGGACCACAGTTGGCCCATGAGTTTCCCGGATTACACATCTCCTGATGTTTCAGTCTACTTCTTCAGGGGATATCCCAAGTACCTTTTCCTGGAGGGGAAAAAAAAAGAGAAATAGATTCTTAAAATTCCAAGTTAGTGAAAACATATGCCTGTGAATTCTGTTCTCCCAGGGATGACCCTGGGATCAGAGAGCATAGCAGGGTTGGGGGAGGGGTTAGAAGGTGACTGGCATCCTTGGCATGCCTGAGAGGAAACCACCAGCTAAGGACTTAGTTACCCCAGGGCGCACAGGCTAGATAGGAAAAGGCTTTGATGCTGTTAACATTCAAAGGGAGTAGATAAGAAAGGATTGATAACTTTCCTTTATAAGCTTCTCCTTTCAGAGGGCTGGAGAATGTGTGAAGTTACAGGAGCTCTGGGTATCTATGTCAAGGGTGAGGAAAAAGGGCCAAGGAGTAAATTAGAATCTCATGGTAGCACCCTGACCAGTGGCTCAGCTGGTTAGAGCATTGTGCCAATATGCTAAGGTTGCAGGCTCCATCCCCAATAGGGGATGTGCAGGAGGCAGCCAATCAATGTTTCTCTCATCAATGTTTTTATCTCTCTATCCTTCTTTCTTCCTTTGTCTCTAAAAATCAATAAAAACATATTTAAAAACATAAAAAGAAACTCCTATTCAGTAGCAGGGACTCCCCATTCCCTCCCCGCAAAACTCCAGGAAGTCACTAATCCGTCTCCATGGATTTGCCTATTCTGCACATTTCATATAAATGGACTCAGACAATAGATGGCTCTTTGTCTGGCTGCTTTCACTTAGGATAATGGTTTCAAGGTTCATCCATCTGTCAGTACTCCATTCCTTTTTGTGGCTGAATAATATTCCATTGTTTGAATATGCCACACTTAGTTTTTCTATTCATTATTCATTATCAATGAACATTTGGGTTCTTTCCTCTTTCCGGCTTATAAATAATGAATGCTGCTATGAACATTCACGTACAGTTTTTATGGGAACGTTTGTTTTCAGTCTTCTTGGATATGTACCAAAGAGTAGAACTGGTGACTCTATGTTGACCATTTTGGGGAACTGCCAAATCAGGGCTGTATCATTTTAGAATCCAATGTATGAGGGTTCAAATTTCTCCTGTCCTCATCAAAACTTGTCTTGCTTGTTTTAGCCATGCTAATGGATATGAAATGGCATCTCATTGTGGTTTGGATTTGCAATTCCCTAATGCTGAAGTCAAACAAGACTTTTTCATATGCTCATAGGCCATTTGTATATCTTCTTTCGATAAATGTCTATTTGATACATTGCCCATTAAAAAATTAGGCTAATTGTCTTTTTATAGTTGAGTTTTAAGAGGTCACTGCACATTTGGAATATAAGTCTCTTAACAGGTATACAACTTGCAAATATTTCCCCCCCCATTACGTAGGTTGTAATTTCCCTTAAAACAGGAAGGTTTTTTCATTTTGATGTAGTCCAATATATTTTTTCTTTTCTTGCTTGTGTTTTTCATGTGGAACCACCATTGTTAATAGAACACTTTTGGCATTTCAGCTACATTAGTTAACTAAATAGATTTTTTAGAACTGGCCTGTGAACCCAATGAATACTTATAATCTCTCTGGAAAAATGAGGGTGATTTCTGGTCTGTAATGATAGTGCAAACATGAAGGGTTGTGAGAGTTTCAGAGGCTGGTGAGGATCTTGAGCTGGAGTGGTTGGGAAAGGCTCTGGGGCAGAGGAGGGGCTGCGAGTAGTGGGGGTGGAGGTTGGGGGAATCCTGGAAGAAAGAATAAAGCTGAAATAATGTCTGGAACTCCGTCCTCTTAGCATGAGTGAAGGCAGCTTGAATTTAGAACACATATGAGCCTTAGTTGTTCAGATCAGCCATGTCTGTACCATGGGAAATAGGAAAGAACAGAAGACAGGGTAGCTCAATTGGCATTCACTGAAGACCATGGAAGGCATGTCAGTCCCTTAGGCAAGCTTGGCTGTACTTTCTCCCTGGTTTCCGAGAGGCCAAGTCTGTTTGGAGGCTCCAGGGTCAGGCTGGCCATCCCTCAAAGAGACTCAACCCTGTTGCTGGCCCTGGAGCATTCTAGCGGAAAAAGAACTAACGACAACCCATGACAACTTGGGGCAAAGGCCTAGCTTCTGAAATTTAAAGCTCTGAGCAACGCATTTTGATAGGTTGACCTGATGAGGCCATTTGAACATGAAAGTTTGAAGGAAATTTCAAGGAATGAGTATAAGGGATGAGGGAGGGGTTGAGGCTGAGGCTTGGTGTCTGTGTGTGTGTGTGTGTGTGTGTGTGTGTGTGTGTGTAGATATCTATTTTATTTAATATCAAGTTATTTAAAACAGATGAAAATTTCACTGTTTGCTTTTTAGTTTGTATCAAAATGTCCTTGTCAAAACTCTGGGTCAAAGCAGTAATGACAAAAAAGTCGCTGTCACCCTGAATCTCTGCCTGAGGATTACCCCCACACTCTCAGCAGCTGAGAGGATGAGAAACGCCTGCCTCTTCTAGACTCACTGCCAGACATCCGCTGCCGCAACACTTGTGAGCACAGAAATGATATCTATCTAAACATTTCATCTCTCAGCACCTCCTCATTTCCTGTTAAGAGCTGCCCAGTCCCTCTTCCCCCCAACACACAGACCCCATGTACCCCTTTGGGAGCTTGGTAAATATTTATTGACGATGAAGATAATCATTAAAAATATGTTCCCATCAATGGGATCTATCTCTTGCCACTCAAGTATCTGAAACCCATGAGAACTGCTTCACGGATGTGTTCCCTTAGCTTTAAAACACACACACACACACACACACACACACACACACACACACACACACACACATCTCTTCAAACATCCTGTCCCATCTCCTGTGAGATCTGGGAAGATTCGTTGGTAGATAGTGTGCACTTACCCATCCACCGTGCTGCTGCACCCACGGCGAGAAGTTCTCTCTCAGGTACTTGGCTCCGAAGCCTAGCACCTTGTTCATGGGGTGGTTGTCAATGGCATTGAGTTTGGCGGCGACATCAATGGCCAGAGCAGCCTTAAAGCCTCGAGCTTTGACCTCTGATTCTCCTCTGGTATCTACTTCCCTTAGGAACTGGTCCGTGATGGTCTTGAAAAAAGTGTAGGACAGTCCCTCCTGGAAGCTGCTCATCAAAGTCTTGTCTTTCTTCAGCTGCGTGCAAGAGGATACGCATTCAGTGGAGCAGTTGGGACCAGCAAGACCGACTCCCTTGCTCAACGGGGGGGGGGGGGGGGGGACACGACACTAAAACACCGTGGGAAAACCTGGATTCTACTCCAACCCTGGCAAAAGGGCCTACAGAGTGGACCAGGCATGCGCCTGGCTCTGTGAGTTCATTTCAGGGGACAAATCAGTGCATTCATTCCACACTCAAGGAATGTTTCCGGAAAGGAATGTTTCCGGGGCGCTTACAATGTGGATGACTGAGCCCCCTGCCCTCACTCGGGCCTCCCAGTTTAGTGATAATTACAATCCAGGGCCTTTCCCTTCAGCTAGAGGTCATGTCAGGGACTGAATCTGGATCCTAGAAACCACTGTCTTGGTTCAAACTCCTGCTCCAGCTCTTCCTAGCTGTGCAGTCTTGGAGAAATTATTTAACCTCTCAGCTTCAGTTTTGTCACCTTTAAACCCGGATGACAACAGTAACTGGACTATAGGTTAAGTGAGTACAACCCTTTGCACAGCGCCCCACGTGGAGAAGTGTGCTTGGAACGTGAGTAATTTTTCAGGATGCTGTGAGAGGGCAGGGGCGAGGGCATATGTTCACTGAGAACTAACAAACAGACTGAATCCATTGATGCCTTTCCATGGTTCTACTCATCCTGTTCCCCACCCCCCACCCCGCCTCCTCCCACATCCCTCTGCTCCACCGTCTTTGGATTTCCACACCTTTAACCCAAGACACAAGCATTGTTTCTGCTTCTTTAAAAAAGCTCGGGGCTCGTGTCACCAAGGCAGATGACATCCTGATGGAAAAGCCGTCCTGGCAAAGTCTGTTAACATGGTGTTTGTCATGTGAAAACAGAAATGTCTTCGCGGGGCTCAATGTTTATTTGAACATTCTCTGTGCTTGAGGAATGAGTTGAGCAGGTTTTCAACAAACCCTGTTTATAAGAGGCATATTCTGGGGATGCGTCAGGCTGTGGGAGGGTTTCGGCCTATGGAATCTGAAGCAGGAATGGCCTGCGTCCTTCACACCCCACTCCAAGGATGGACTCCCGCTAATCAGTGACTCCAGACCTCTGCAGGCGCTGAGGCCTGGACTCGACCAGACAGCGAAAGAATCAAATGCCTGAAGCACCTTCCAAGGAGCGTCCTGCCTCCTCCCTGCCCCTCTCCTGCCTCTTTCCGTGCAGCTGGCCGCACAGGGAGGTACATCATCAGGGGATGAGCAGCTTTGCAGACGCTCTGCAGCCAGGGCGGACGCCTCCCCAGTGTCACTGTCGCGCTCTGGTGAGAACTCATACTCACACAGCTCAAGTCAGATCTTTCGGTGCTCCTGCCAGAGTTCTCTACTGGGGAACCACATAAAACAAAACAAAACAAAACAAAACACAAAAAAAAAACAACCAGCCCTAGCCTGTTTGGCTCAGGGAATAGAGCATCGGCCTGCAGACTGAAGGGTCCTGGGTTCGATTCTGGTCAAGGCCACATGCCCAGGTTGCAGGCTCGATGCCTAGTAGAGGGTGTGCAGGAGGCAGCCAATCAATGATTCTTTCTCTCTCATCATGATGTTTCCATCTCTCTCGCCCTTTTCCTTCTTCCTCTCTGAAATCAATAAAAATACAACCATGTGCTCTACATAAATAGTGCAAAGTATCATCTCAAGTCATCAAAAGAGTGTATTAGAGTGAGGTTTTTCAAGTTGCCATTTGTGGCGTGAAAGGAAAAGCATCTCTGTTCATCGCGAGAGGGATTGCTTCGTCCTGCCTCCCAGCCCTGGCCTCCCTGACCCGCTGCCGGTCACTGCTGAGGCCCCTGGACGGAGGCTGCACAGGAGCCACAAGCTGTGAGGAACCCTTGAGGTCCTGGAACGGAGCCCTCCCAGTTCAGGAACTGGACCGTGCCTGGTTATTGGCATCTACTTGAATTCTGCTCGTGACGGGACGATCAGCCCTCCCGAGGCAGCCCCACATGCTGGGAAGATCGTTCTTAAAATGGGGAGAGCCCCGTTGCCCCGCAACGCCTGCCCCCTGGTGTTAGCTCTGGAGAAGCGCAGGGTGTCCCTAAACCCTGTACCATGTTCTGCTTTCTGCTTCCTCTGCACCCCTGTTCACCCCCTACTTGTGGCCCTGACGTCCACCCCTTCTCTCTCTCTTTAAAAAATATATTTTATTGATTTTTTTTTTTACAGAGAGGAATGGAAAGGGATAGAGAATTAGAAACATCGATGAGAGAGAAACATCCATCAGCTTCCTCCTGCACATCCCCACCTGAGGATGTGACCTCAACCAAGGTACATACCCTTGACCTGAATCGAACCTGGGACCTTTCAGGCCACAGGCTGACGCTCTATCCACTGAGCCAAACCAGTTAGGGTTACACCCCTTCTCTTTAGTTTCAAATCCCTGGTTTTCTCACCGTGTCCCTCCTGCACCATCTTGCACGGCCTTCAGCTCCCTGGGCACCATCCCCTGGCCCCCGTCTGACAAGGGCATTGGGGGAACAGCTCAGAGCACACTGTGTCCCCTCCTGCAGAAGCCCCGTGGGCCGGACTTCTTCCCCAGGGATCCTGGCCAAGCGAGGAACCAGGTCCCCAGGCCAGGCCTGCCTCACAGGCCCTACAGACAGCTGGGCACCCTGCTGCTGACGGACACGGAGGAGGCGGCGCTCAGAAGCCCCCTGAGCACAGGGGGAGCCTGCTCACCAGCCCTTCCTCGGGAGGCGCCTCTCATATGTTTCTCATTGGAACGATGGGTCTCAACTCCTAAACGGCAGGAAATCCAAAGTTCCAAGTAACACTAGCCGGCCTCCCCAGCCCAAGTGCTAAGAGACCTGGAGCAGAGAACAGTCCAAGCCACTCGGGGGAGATTTCATACGGGGCTCCAGCCCCGGAGCAGCTGTGGGTCACAGATATCCTGGCTGCAGGGCCAACATGAGAGTCTAAACTTCCCCGAGGATCAGTTACATGGGGAGTGAGGCTCAGAATTCCGTGCAGCGGGTCTGTAATTTATGGGTGTCTTTTCTTACAATAACAAAGTTAACTTTCCTCCTTTCCAAAAATTCCGAGGAGGCTCCAGGAGGTTTAGCTATGTTTTCCAAAGTGATTCATTTTTGAGACGCTGCCAGCGCGAAGAATTTCGACTCCAAGGGAAATAAAATTTAGGACTCAGTGTAAAACCCGAACTTCGACAGGGGCATACAACTCCGTTCTCATGGACCAGGGCATGGGCACAGAAATAAACCGTGAGTTCAAGCTCCGTACCTCTCTTTCCATCTGATCCCCTGAGTATTTCAGCAGCTCAACGATCTTGGCTATGATTTGGTCTTCTCCGTCTGTCAGGAAAATCCAGTTATTTTTTTTTTTTCCAAGAAAAAAAAAATCTTACATTTTCCCAGGGACCATGCTTAGCCTGGTTGGGGATGGAGGAAGATAAGTGTCTTATAATTCTTAGAAAATTAAATCATACCTCCCTTGTGCTGATGAGGCACAAACACTCCCAGACACATTCTTTTTCCTTCCTTCTTCTCCCTCCTTCCCTCAGTCCCCAGTTCTCACCATGAAATTCATCACTCCGTTTACTGGAACAATGATGTTGGAGATGTTAGTTCCGCTACACATGATCCTGCCTCTAATGCTATTTAGGAGGCATTTCTCCCTGGTCTTTGGGCTTCGCCTGAGCAGATGGTGCTTTTCCTACATGGACCCCATCAATCCCCTATTTGACCACGCTCCTCCTTGTGTTAGCTGCTAGACAAGGTAGAGCCAAATTCATGGTCCCTCAACCCCCATCTAAGAGGGGGCATAGTCTTTCTGATCTGCATTTTGAGAATTAAACCCACTTCTAAAACCACCTTATCTTCCTGCTGTTGTTTTCTTTTTCCATTGTCCTTCACATTTATTTTACCGTATCCAAAATGCCTACTTTGCACGCTGTGTCTTCGCAACAAAACAAGGTGGGGAATAAATGGATGAGCTTTCTCCCACCCCAAAGGCTAACGTGGCAGAGGGATCCAGAGACGACTCTAGTGTGAGTGTGTGTGTGTGTGTGTGGTGGGGGGTGTCAGAACAGGGGAGGAGTAGCAGGGCTTGTCTTGTCTCAAACATGCTGACAGTGATACACGAGGGAATGGTCATTGCCTTAGCACAGAATCCAAACAGAGAAAAGCCAGTTACAGGGAGAACATTTTTTTTTCCCCCTTATGGCACAATCTCTAAAGTCATGGAGTCCTCATGTTTGTTCTCGATAAAAGGGAGAGAGGCCAAGAAATTAATCTAGCACGCCCCGCCCCAAGAAGGTCGAGCGAAGGGCACGGTACGTGGGAAGCCTGAGATCCGGGTCACCTGGGAGGAGGAAGAATGTGTGTCTCGTCGGCCACGTGTAGCTTCTCTCTGCGGCTGCCTCTCCCGGGAAGGCTGCAGCGGCGCCCGCGGAGGGGAAGAGCCTTAGTGCTGGCTGGGCTTAGGGCTTTGCTTCACATCGCCCAGACACACCCAAGGGAGCGATACAGGGGAGACACACTCTTCCCCGCAGACGGAGATGTGTCCCCTCCTCTAGCTCCTCAGTCTAAGCCCCTGTGGGAGTTTTGGTCCCAACAGCACTGCACAGGGTGGTGAACTCATCACTTTGCTCCGTGGTTGGAAGACCTTTTGCCTCGTGCCTTACTGTGCCCTAAACCTGCCTCTGCCCCTCAGCCCCCACCGGAGTTTGGGGGACGACACCAAGAGAGGGGGCTGTCATTAGTGAAAGTGCAGGATGGAACTGGGTCCAGAATTCCTGCAAGTCCGATGGGATCTACGGTCCAAGCTATTGCTGCAGTTTCAGTGACAATTGACCCTGTCTGGTCATTGCTTCTCAGTTCTGCTTCATGTCCTGCCCTAGGCCTGGTGTCTGACACCCATCCCCCTGCTTTTTTCACAGGAGCCCAAAGTGATTCTATATAATAAAAGCCTAATATGCAAATTGACCTAACTGCAGAATGACTGGTTGCTATGATGCACACTGACCACCAAGGGGCAGACACTCAACACAGGAGCTGTCCCCATCCCACAGGCCCCAGGCCAGCCAAAGTGAGTGCCAGCAGGGGGGGCAATTGCCCTGCCCATCACCCCACAGACGGAGGTGACTGGCAGCAGCAGTGGGAGGTGGGGCTGGCAAGTGGGCGGTGCCAGGATGGCCAAGGCAAGTGCCAGTAGGGGCCCCTGATCGCCCTGCTGGTTGCCCCACAGATTGGCCCTGATTGTCAGCCAGGCCTAGGGGCCTTACCCGTGCATGAATTTCGTGCACTGGGCCTCTAGTATTATATATACTTCCCTGTGCTGGTGCTCAATCCACGCCCTCTGCACTCCCACGAGCAAACTGGTCCCTGTACACTGCTAACAGGATTACATCTAACCCCGCGCGTCCCCCTGTGGACAAAGTTAACCAACTTCCTCCTCTCCCTCACCAGACTTCTCTTTAGACTTAGCAGTGAGCTTGGCATGTGGCTTCCATCTGCTGGCACACTCCCCTCAAGCTGAAGGTCAGTGCCTCCGGCAGGCTGTTGTCCTGCCCTGAGTCCAGGTCAGCTGAGATTCCTACACCCAGAGCCGAGCTGAGTCAGTATGTGGATGCTCCCGTGCCTCGGTCTGGAGACACCCAGCCCCACAGACACTCTCCGAGGGGAGTTTACCTTTCTTCGCATTTGCAGCTTGAGGCTGAGAGTTCAGGCCCTCCGAGACAAAGAGGAGGGTCCCCACTTGACGCTTGATGCTCCCTTCCTGGCTGTGCTCTTCAGGAGGTGGCCAGGAGTTAACAATTTCAGCCACTCGGTTGGCAATGGAAGCAACTTTGGTGTCTACAGCTGAAACAAGAGAAAACGGTGCTGAGAACCCTTCCCAGAACGCGGTGGCGATAATGGCTGCACAGTTGCCTGGTCTGAAGAGAGGCCTGAGAGTGTGTGTGCGCGGGGCAGGCCATTCCTCAGAAGGCACTGGCAGTTGCCTGGCAGAGGCTGGGATGGGGGAGGAGCCCAGCGAGGCATGGTTGCCACTTTGAAACCAGGATCCTTTTGCACCCTCCGTTTGAAGTCTTGCAAAACTAGGGTCCCCTTCCCCTTTGAGAGGAGGAAACACAAAAGGGAGGGCTTAGTTCTTTGCTTGAGGAAATGCTCATTATGCTTTTATTTTTATTCTATTTTTCCCCCCAGACCTCTTTATATTTCGGAGAGCTGGCCCTTATGTGCATAGGAGGACATTCAATAGTTTGACAAGCCTTTGGGGGCAGGTCACGAAAGAAAGATAAATATCCCTGCTCTCGGGCCATTTTCATTACTCAAGTCCATTATCAAGTAAACACTGAGCTCTCCTTGCTTTTAGAGTCACGTGTTTCCTCTCTCCTTCAGATCTACCGAGAAACGTCCCACCAAGGCTGATAGGAAGCAAGGACACGTAAAGTGCAACCCATACCCTTCAAGAATGTATAATCCAGCCGGAACCGGTTTGGCTCAGTGGATAGAGTGTCAGCCTGCAAACTGAAAGGTCCCAGGTCAATTCCGGTCAAGGGCATGGTTTCGGGCACATACCCAGTAGGGGGTATGCAGGAGGCAGCTGATCAATGTTTCTCTCTCATTGATGTTTCTAACTCTCTATCCCTCTCTCTTCCTTTCTGTAAAAAATCAATACAATATATTTTTTTTTTAAAAAGAGAGAGAGAGAATGTATAATCCAGGGAAAGAGCAAGGCGTATATTTGCACATGTGCCTAGTGAAGAAAACACATTTTGGGAGGGAAGGTTTCAATGACCTTGGCTCTCTGGATGTCACAACCTGTGAAAGACTCAGTGGGACTGGCGGGGTGGGCAGGTGCTATCACTGGCTTGTTCGGGAGCAAAATGTTCATTGTGGATTCATTACTAAGTTCTTAACTTTTGGAAGCTTGGACAAGCTTTATCTTCCATGCCATTGGAAGCAATTGTATTGTGTAATGCGTGAAAGTGATACTATTTCATTGACAGGCTTGAGGTAACAGAGGGGTTTTGGCGGGAAGGTGGCTGTGTCTGGAAAATCCCCTTAACAATCAGGAGGGGTGAGAGGCAAGGCCCGGGTCTCAGGAGGGGTTGTGTAAAACACAGGGACCCCTGCGCCTCTCTCCCTGGCCTCCTCCAGGGGATGTGTTTTGGTGTTCTCCTTTCACTCTTGGGCATTCCCAGAAAGGTCACGAAGAATGCTGCTCTGCCTCATGTCCCCTTTTAAAAGAGGCAGAATGGCTTCCTTAAAAAGTCATTTTTCACGCTCCACCCACAAGGTTTGATAACAGATCCGGGAGTTGGAGAATAGAGAGGTCAAGGACAGAAGAATCAATGCTTTCATTCCCATTTGAACAGCCAAGTATACTTTCCACTTCTAATCACCCTCTCAGCCCAACCAGCCTCCTCTTGAACTCTCACCGCCCATGTCCCTTGGCAAGGACATGGCGAGAGGCTGGATCCCAAAGCCAACGGGAACCTTCCTTTGCAGTGTCCACAGGACCCGGGAAAAAGGAGCTTGTGTTTTCTACCCCTGTGACCTTGTGCAGCCTGTCTAGGATGTTCAGTGCATGGTTCTCCTTATGCCGCATCTTGCACCCAAAGAAAGCAGATAAAGGACCCAAAGGCCGTCCCTCCTCACCTCCACCCCCGTGTGGCAGGGCAATCACAGGACCCTGGCAGTTACAGAAGTACCCAACCTGACTTACTTGTGTACAGTGTATGGATTTCTTCGGGGTGGGGGAGGGGAGAAGAGAATTGAAAGCAAACACATTTTGACTCAGGTGAACTAGCTTTAGTTAAGATTCCCATTTTGAACACCTTAATTTTAAACACTGAAAAAAGACAAGATTCCTTTCTTGTCAGAGTAGGTCTCACCTGATAGGCAAGAAGAAATTGGGTGGGGGTGGAGAGAGAACAGAAAGGCTGCCCCTTCTTTGGCATCTATTTTGAGGGGGTCATTGTGGGGCTAAGAGGAGCAGAGTTGGGAAGGTGCTGTTCAGCCCTTGGCCCAAGACTTTTGATTTAAAGAGAAGGGGCAGAAAGTCTGGGAGGGATTTCCATATGGTTGAGAATGCTATTTCCTACCCAGTATCCATTCTCTTCCCCCCTCGCTTTGAGGTTGGAAGCCACTAGCTAAGGGGTGGAAAGAATAGAATTCCTAATGACTATGGAACTATAATACCATATTAGGCCTGGACTGCCAAAGGTTGGTCTTCTTTTAAGGGAGAGAAGAGTAACCTCTAGGCCATCTGGGACACCTGCTGTGACAGGACTGCCTTGGTGACAAATATGCCTGGAAGGCTGTGGTCCAGGCCACTTTTTGCTGGCTGTAAGCAGAGTCTCTGGAACCAGAGGGAGCACACAGCTCTTCTTAAAATGGAAGATGTTGATGCTCAAGATGAAACTGAATTCTATTTAGGCAAGAGATGTGCTTATGTGTACGAGGCAAAGAACAACACCGTGACCCTAACTGGTTAGAGCATCGGCCTGCGGACTCAAGCGTCCCAGGTTTGATTCCAGTCAAGGGCATGTACCTCAGTTTCAGGCACATCCCCAGTAAGGGGTGTGTAGGAGGCAGCTGATGGATGTTTCTCTCTTGTTGATGTTTCTAACTCTCTATCCTTCTCTCTTCCTCTCTGTAAAAAATCAATAAAATGTATATTAAAAAAAAACACACACACACAACACAGCGATTCCTGGTAGCAAACCAAACAAAACCAGAGTTGCCTGGGGAAATGAAGTCATGCTCACGGAAACAGTGGCATGGCTCGTGCTAAATCCTGAAACAACTTTCCTGCTAAGGCCAATGGACACCGAATCTGTGTAACACTGTACCCCACAAGGATTTGAACTTACTGAAAAGAAAACAAAAGTAGATATGTAAAAAAAGAAAAAAAAAAGAAAAAAAAAAAGAAAATAACCTCTACATTATTTAAGCCATGGTTATCTGAGTTTGTCACTATATGTGTGCTGCTGAGCCTGTACTTAACTGTCACGTTTCACATGTAGTGAATCATAGCTGTGGGGAAACCAAAGATTCACAAATGAAAGAACCTGGGTTGTCAGTTTCTAAAAAATTGGAATTGACACCCATTTTTCTACATTGTAAGACCTCTCAGTACTAGACTCTGGTCTTGAGACATCACCTCATAGCCCTCGATTAAGGCGGGAGCCCGAGTCCTGGAAATGGCAGTACAGGCCACACTGTGACCTTTAGTTAAGAGAACCTTGGGGCTGCCAACTGCTGCGCTCTGACTTGCATGCGGCAAAATAGAAATGGAATTGGAAGCTCTCTGGGGTCACAACCAACATAAAACCAGCTAACCACCCACACATTAATTGGACAAGAAAGCAAGGAAGAAAAAATAGGCGAGAAGAGAGGATAACTGTGTAAAAATGTCTGAAGCTAAGTCTACTAGGAGGTAACTATTTCTGTTTTTTAGGGATATCTATCTGTCTATCTATCTACCCGCCTACCTATATAGACATCTTAAAATTTTAAGAACGAAATAAAGGTCAAGTGACACTTGAGTAGTATGGAAATACAGAATGTCATTCCTCTCAGAAAAGCCAAAAGATGAAGGTCTGTAAAATCATCTGTCTCCTGGCAAAGTCCAAAGAACAGGCCAAGCAGAAAAGCCTGTGTAGATGCCTTCGAATGGAGTTAGCTCCAGAGCTCAGCGACCATGCCCAGCAGATGGCGCTGCTGTGCCATTGGGGAAGGGGGGCTACCCAGATAATCCCACCCTCACGTCTGCTCTAAAATTCTCTGTCTACTGGGAAGTAGAAGCTTCCTTGGTCATAGTGAATGATCTAGAGCTGTCCATGTATGAGCTCATTCTCCAGGCCAGTCACAAGCTGAGACATTACTGCCACCTGTTGACCAATTCTAGATAAGTTACACAGTCCAACCAGCCCAGCAGGAGAGGAGTTTTCATTTAAAATCTGGGCATCAGGCATGGTGTTGTTGAAGGAGAAAAAGCAGCTTATGCCAAGCTTTGTGTAGGAAGGTCAACTCTCCAAAGAAGTCTCTTATGAAAATGTTTTATTCAATACGATAGATTTTGTCCCTCTGACGGGAGATTTTTGTAAGAGTGCTTCAAAGTTGTCTTTTTAGAGGGGGTTAGACTTTGAAAAGTATTTCTGTATGTAGCTACCTGATCTTTCCATCTCTCCTAAGAGCTAGGGAGGGTGAGATGCTCCTATGTAGAGATGGAAACACAGAGGCTCACCGAGGTGAGTTGACTTACCCCAGGAAGAGAGGCAGCCAGGCTCCTGGCTAGAGCACTTCCCCTTATACTGGTCTCCCGCACAGAGGTTGAGGAATTTGGGCAGTAAGCTTATTCATAGACAGTGAAGCCAGAAAAATCAATCCCATCACCTTTCACTGACACCCTTTCCTCTCTGCTCATTCTTGAGGTAAGTAGGGCCATTATGACTAAATATCAATAACTTGGGAACCGGAGACACAATGAATGTCTTGCTGAAGGCTGCATTACCAGGTGGGAAGAGATGAACTACTGTGCGTACAAAGAAGGAAAAGATTTGGTTGCAGGAGAAAAAGAATCCCATCAAAGCTTACCTTGGGTCTCTAAGGTCGGTCCCTGGTTGGAAAGGGACCTGGAACATTGTTGACGACCACCCTCATACTCCAATCGCTTTATATCCTGAGCCTGGATTTTCGTAGGCAAGCTCTCTGAATCTTCATCTTTCTCTGCTACTCCAAAGAGGGATCTCCAAGAGGACTTTTTCTTGGTGAGGCTTATAGCCTTCTCACTAGATCGGGAACTTCTGCAAGGCCATGGCACCTGTGTCCACGACTCGTTTGCTGACCAGTTCCCCAGTCCTTTCTGGGACAGACTCCTGGTCCTCTGCAGCTTTGGTGAGAAGACAGCAGACGTGCTCTTGAAGACATGGTGTTTGGCGTAGAACTCCAGGATTTGGAATTCGATGCTGTTTGCGTCATCATCGTCCAGGGGGATCTCCTCCAGGTCGAAAGCACTGGTGGTGCACATGGCGGGGCTGCAACGACAAAGCCCACGTGTGTCCTCTACCTGCGGGTGCCTCCTGTCGGTCAGGAGAGACGGGGGTGAAGCTCCATGAACACTTGTTGAGCACCTATTCAATTTGTCCTGGGAGGTGGGAGGAGTCTGGAGATGGAAAAGTCAGAGCTCTTGAAAATTCAGTCTCATAGAGACAAGGAGGAGAGACAGGGACATAGATAACTCCATACAGTGAGCTAGGACTGGAGCGGGGGTGCAGAGCCAGGCAAGGATGATGGGGAGGAATAGAAGCTGCAAATCAAGGGTGAGTAACGTCACTTTGACAGATAAAAGGGTTTAGGCAGGTGGGTGGGTAGTGGGGTTAAGGACTGGATGGGTAGAAGAGGGTCTATGGATGAATTTAGGTGTTTGAATAGGGGTGAGAGAACTGTAAGGCATAAGCTGTGTGGTTAGCCAGGGGCTCAGGATGTGGAGGGACAATAGATGAAGTGGCAGTTGGGGCCAGGTTATGGGGACTTTCGAATGGTAGGCTGAAAGCTTTGCCTTTGCTCATGTTGGTCAATCAGGCCTTTCAAAAGAAGCCCTAGACTATGGAGGGCAGCTCCAGGCCTTCTTGGGAGTTAAAGGTCTTCTTCTAGGTGGGCAAATGAGAAGGCCGCTGTCTGGGGTGTATGGCCCTTCCCATCTTCTTTCCCTTCTTCCTTTACACTCTACTTTAGCTGTACAGATTTGCCTATTTATTTGTTTATTTATTTTGAGAGAGAAAGAGAGAGAGTGGAGAGCAACACATTGATTGGCCTCCTCCTGCATGTCCCTACCGGGGATCAAGCTCACAACCAAGGCATGTGCCCTAACCAGGAATCTAACCGGCAACCTTTTGGTGGTACACTGGACAACACCCAACCAACTTAGCCGCACCAGCCATGGTTGTTCCTATCTCTTTCCATATTTGGTATCCCACGTAAGATCCATCTGTAAAACCCTGCAATTTTTTAAAACAAATTTTAAGACTACTGATGGAGCCAAAACCGGTTTGGCTCAGTGGATAGAGCATCGGCCTGCAGACTGAAGGGTCCCGGGTTCGATTCTGGTCAAGGGCATGTGCCTTGGCTGTGGGCACATCCCCAGTGGGGAGTGTGCAAGACACAGCTGATCGATGATTCTCTCTCATCGATGTTTCTAACTTTCTATCCCTCTCTCTTCCTCTCTGTAAAAAAATCAATAAAATATATTAAAAACAAAACAAAACAAAAAAAACTTCACTTTAAAAAAAAAGACTACTGATGGAGGCAATGGATAACTTTTCAGTTTTGAGCAAAAGAGTGATGTGATCACAGACGTGTTTTAGAAAGATCAGTAAAAGAAAAAACAGGACAGGGATGGGAGGGTTTATTTTCATATGAATAACCAAATAAATATAATAAACTGATTTTGTTCAACTTAAGCTTTCATGAAATCATTCCTTTTCTGGTTCCCTGCTGGGAAAGCATTTCTTTTTGTTAAAAGTCTACTTTGCTTCCTTCTGAGTGAAAGATGTTGCTCAGAAATATTGAGACCTGAGATGGGTCACTGAAGTGGACCAAGGACTGTGCTACCCGAGACACATAAGGAATGAGCCCAAAAGGATGCAGCAACAGCAGGGGAGCGGGCTGTGGGGGCAGAACTCTGGGCAGCAACTCGGTATAAAAGGGGCTGAGCCCAGAGCTGGAATGCGTCAGGAGGGGATTGCTGAGGTATTTCATTTGAAGCTTTCTTTTGAATTGGATAATCCAGGACACTGTGGGCAGAAGGTACATTTGGATTCTATAGGGACTATGTACTCAAATCACAATATTATGCTTCCATATAAGTTTGTGTGGTTTTTTTTTTAAACAAAACCTGAGACCTTTCAAATGTAAGGGTGTGTGTGTATGTGTGTCATTGTTGGAGAGAGGAGGGTCAAACTTATTTAAGAAACAAGTTTGCTAAATGCTGATTCAGGAGCAACCTCAGAGTACAGGAAAAACCATGGAGGCCACGAAGGACCACAGAGTCCTTCCATTTTGTGAAAGGAATTTTTGATGTGCTGTAGGCTAGAAAGAAAGGGAATAGTTGGCTCACGCAACAGGCAAGATCAAGGACGAGAGAGAAGCAGAGAGCACAGCAGTGTGAGGCAGTGGCAACCCCAGTGAATGGGGCAACCCTATGGAGGGAGTGGGTGCTAGGACCAGGCCCTGGAAAGAACTTGACTAAAAGGGAATACATCCTATCTAATAAAAGAGTAATATGCAGATTGACCATCACTCCAACACACAAGATGTCTGCTCCTATGTGGACACAGATGGCCACCACAAGATGGACAGCAGGGGAGGGCAGTTGGGAAGGACCAGGTCTGCAAGGGAGGGCAGTTGTGGGTGATCAGTCCAGCAGGGGAGGGCAGTTGGGAGGGACCCAGGCCTGCAGGAGAGAGTAGTTGGGGGGAACCAGGCCTGGATAGGAGGGCAGTTAGGGATGACCAGGCCTATAGTGGAGGGCAGTTAGGGGCAAACAGGCTGGCAGGGGAATGGTTAGGGGGTGCTCAGGCTGGCAGGCAGAAGCGATTAGGGGTAATCAGGAAGGCAGGCAGGCGAGCAGTTAGGATCCAGCAGTCCTGGATTGTTAGAGGGATTGCTGACTGAATGGGCAGTTGGACATCCCTAGAGGGGTCCCAGATTGAAGAGGGTACAGGCTGGGCTGAAGGGCATCCACTCACCTGAATGAATTTCATGCACTGGGCCTCTAGTGGAGACATAAGCATATTTCTTAAGACACTATAGATGCATTTGAGAAGTGTAGGTTTATTTTCCTTACTAATCCTCACTGTGAATTAAGGGAGAGCTATTGTTCAATGTACAGCTAAGTCTTAAAGCAGCAGTGAACTAGGTTATCACACGTTGGACCCCTTCTGCTCTCAGCTATTTCTGGTAAGAAGGAAAAGCCCAAGATCTGGGTTTTGGAAACTTACACCATAGGCTTATGCTTAAGTTCATGGTCTCAAGGCCTTGGGTGGAACTCTTAAGCAAGAGGTGGGCAAGACAGGACCATTGATCAGCTATGTCACAGTCACATTTGTTTATTTTTTGTCTATGGCTGATCCTGCGAGTGTATTAGAAAAATTCCTTCCCCTCTGGGCTTCACAGTCCTTGTCTGTAAATTTAGGGAATGAGAGTCCTGCTTCCTCTGTCTGTTGTGGGGTTAAGTAAGGATGCAGGTTAGTGCCTCGTGTAGCAGGTATTCAATGATGGTCCCTTTGCTGCCCTCACTGAAGACGGTGAGCTACCTGTGACTCCACTAGACTGCAAGGCCAGGGGGCAGGGCCAGCTTGTCCTATGGTCAATGTTATAGCCCTAGGAACCAGCATAGTTCCTGACCCAGAACGTACTACTTTGGGAGGCATAGTAGAAACTATCAGAAAAAATTGAAAAGCTGATTCTGAGGTTTGGGTCTAAAATGTTCATACCTGCCAAAACTGGTTTGGCTCACTGGAGAGAGCGTCGGTCTGCAGACTGAAAGATCCCAGGTTCAATTCCAGTCAAGGGCATATACCTTGGTTGCAGGCACATCCTCAGTAAGGGGTATGCAGGAGGCAGCTGGTCGAAGTTTCTCTCTCATTGATGTTTCTCGCCCTCTACCCCTCTCCCTCCCTCTCTGTAAAAAAAAAAAAAATCAATAAAATATATTTTTAAAAAATTAAAAAAGTGTTCACACCTGGCATCAGGCATGGGTGAGTGGGAGATGGAGGGGAACCCCTGGGCCTTGCCTGTCGTGAAAGCCTAAAACCTCAGGTGGGCTCTGTCCTACCCTAGGGAGGGCGTGGAGACTGGTCCAGTTCAAAGAAAGACTCCGGAGATCCGGCTATTGTACTCTGATCACCTTATATTTACATACTCTCCCCTTATCTGTAGCGAACTGTACAAACTTACTCTCCAAACCAAGGTTACACAACTCCTTTGGCTGGCCTCTTTTCCTTCCCAGAGAGCTCCTTTCCCCCAACCCCTAAATGGCCCAAGTCCTTGGGGTCTCCTCCAGCTTGTCCTTTAGGATCCCAAGGTGAAGGTGCTGGGGTGTGGGAACAGCTGCGAAGCCCAGAGCTGTAGGGGAAGCACCTAAACTCCTAGGAATGCCAGACACCCTTTTTGGGATTTTTTCTAGACCTGGGTTTGTTTGTTATCTTCCCTGTGGAAGATAATACCGTGTTTCCCCGAAAATAAGACATCCTCCGAAAATAAGACCTACTTACAGGTTTCCTTAAGGCATCCCCCGAAAATAAGGCCCCCCTAGGCTAAACATGAGAGATTTGGTCCACTGATTCTGAAAGAAATGGAGTCACAAGAAATTCACCAGGAAATTCAGGAGTTGGATTGTTATGATGATGTTCCAGATGATGATGACATGATTGTCATTGAATAAATGAGTAAATTCTTGATACTGTAGGGTTCACAGTTTGTCTGGTTTGTGTTGACAGCTACCGTACTACTGTACCATATACGGGTAATAAATTTCCTTTATTTTCATTTAACAATAAATGTGTACCGTATTCTTCTTCATGGAAAAATAAGACATCCCCTGAAAATAAGACCTAGCGCATCTTTGGGAGCAAAAATTAATATAAGACACTGTCTTATTTTCGAGGAAACAGGGTAAATGCAGGAAAAGAGGAAGCAGGCTGCCAAGACCTGTGCTGCAGGTAAGTGGGACACAACTTTGCATGGTCTGTCCCAGATATGAGGGCTGAGGAGGTCCCCTGGGCAACAGGCTCAGCTAAAGAGCTAACTTGCATTGCTCTGGACACAGCTGAGACCCGAGGGTAACTCACGGGCTGCGGGTGGAGGACAGATACTCATCTCAAGGGAGGTTCCTAGACCAAAAGATGAATTAAACTTGGTCTGGATGCCTTGAGCTTCCCCTGGAGCACCCTTTGCCCAAGCCCTCTGGAAACTTTCCTTCCTCCTTACTAATCCTTCCTTATCCAAACTTCTGACCTTTGGATTTTT